AGACAGGGTCAACGAGTGAGTTCAACATTTCAGCTTACTTGCAGAAGCAGATTGCAAACACTAACATATAAATTGAGAAAGTGCTAAAATCTTTTATTGGATGTATTTGTCTCTTCCTGGCTCTTCATTCAACTAACCATATGCTTACTTTCCACTGGCAATTGCTATTTAAATGTCAGTTGACAAGCAGATGCTCCTCACCGTATTACATGCACGTTAATTTATTGTCCACAAGCCTGATGGAGTGTTCTCTAACCATGCTGGTTTCCAACTGTCCCCACCCACCCCTTTGTTGCAACCACGCTGAGCCTTGCAGCTCACAGAAGGTAAGCTGCCTTTGTGTTTCTCCATCCCCTGCTCATGCTGTCTCTGCCAGGGCTGCCCTTTCCTAGGCTGACTCTTGCTCTCCTTAACTTTCCATGTGAATGTTCTTGCCTATGGGAATGTTCATCCAGCTCTTCTCGTTGCTGCAATGCTGCTCAGCTCAGACCATTCTCTTAGCCCTTAGAAAACCAGGCTGTGGCTTTGTATCATCAGTACAAAGCTGAGCCTCGTCCAGCCATCAAGAAGCAATTGCCAAGTAAATAAGCAAAGTCCACAGAACTTGAATGAGTGGATAAAAGGGGCTCCCCACCAGGGGCTGGTGGGGAGGTGGAGATGTCTAATCCCTGCTCGCTATGGTCAGGGTTAGAGAGAAATTGGAAAATAAGGGCAGGAACAGGCAGAAGGAGGACAGATCAGCTATAACAATCCAAGAAATCCTAAATCATCATCAATATACCCCTGCACCCTTAAGGCTTCAATGATTCTATAAAATGGGATTCCAACAGTAGGTAGAAAACCTAATATTTAGAATTGATTTAAATTACACAAAATATCTTTGCTTGTGAAGTGATAAACTTTCCAGATCTTTTAAGTATTCCTTTTTAAGTAGGTACTTATGTAAGATAGATGGATGGATGAATGGATAGACAGAGAGATGACTGATAGACAGTTGGAATCATTGTAGGCTGTCACCAAGTCATGACCTAAAGTCTTATTTTGTTTTAACCTTCTTTGGCTCCCTTGGGCTGGGACTTTGCCTTCCTTTGGCAGTAAACATGTCCTCCAGAGTTTAGCCAAATGCCTGTTCTTGGAGGACCTGGTTCTAAAACTGAAGCAAGAGAGTGCATAGAAAAGGCATTGTATGGACCTGCCGCTTGTTGTATCCCATGCTGTGAATGGTCGACACTTGAGTCTAAACCTGGGGAAAACCCTAAAATTACAGTAAAAACAAATAATGGGCTTGCTTGCCAACCTAGGGTAGAATCCAGTGTTCTAAGCAGTATGACAGGGTGAAGGAGTGCTGCCACCCTGACCTCAGTAGATCTTGGGCAAATCACTTAATCTCAGTTTCCCCATGTGTAAGACAAGGGAGTTACAAGACTGGTCTCAAGGTCTCCTCTTGCTCTCTAATGACTCCAAAATGGAGTTCTGGGGAACATACCAGTAGTTACTTTCACTTTAAAGGTTAGAGGGGAGAATATAGAGCATGGTGTCAGATACATCAATGCCACCATGTCGTGGGCTTCAGAGCTTAATGCACTTCTGAAGATTAAACCAAGCAGGCTGCCTCTAATGCTGTCGAAATGTCAGGCTTCAGTGCAGGGTGTTGTTAGACATCTACATTACCTCTGTTTTTTAAACAACATGACTCTGCCAAGAATGAATCTGTGTCATGTCTAATGGCTCTTGTCATTTTAGTGTAGTGATCAAGGAGGAAAAATGAAAGTACTTTATGTGGAAAACCAGATAAGAAGGTATTTCATAAGCCAGAGTGCAAGGCTGTCTGGAGTATAATATAGATCTATCAGTAATTCAGTTAAAACAGTTTACCTGCTTTACATGAATGGGTTCAGTTCACTGATCTTCATTCAAGCTAACACTGAAGTTATTTAACTGCGGGCTGCACATTACACCACACAGACCAAAGAATTATAGATATGTTTTCCAAATGTAATATACAAATCCAAATTGATTGCAGCCACACACGCCTTTAGTCAAATCTTTAGTACACTCTATTAGGGCACAAATAAGACTTTAAAGTTTGATCTTAGCCTCAGGGTAGCTGGGGCTAGAGCTGAACCAATTGCAAACAGCCAGAACAGAAAGTTACCTTGGGATGCAGTATTTATTCTCAACAGTGTATCATTTAGAACAAACTTTTTTTAAATGTAAAAATAAGCAATTACTTGTCATTATAAAATGACACATTTTACAAGGGAGCAAATTTGGTTTTATTCCCCTGAGAGGCTCACCTCCGTTACAGTGCTCACAGGAACATGTCTCATGTTTGTGATCCGCTCCAACTGTATGTCTAATGCTCCATTTTCCGAGAGCAAACTTGTCTTTCAAAACACAGGAAGAAAAGCGCCAGCCATTTTTCCCGCCTCCAGTTGAGGTGGGGGAAGTTTATCCCAACAGCCCTGCCAAGTAGCTGGCATGATCTGCATTATTCTAGGATAGCTAGGCAAAGTTTAGAATGAGAAATGCAAAGTACATCCTTGTGCTTTCAGGATTATTTCAGTTTGAAATGATTTAGAGTTCCCTTATATGGAAGGCCTTCTAGGAAAAGACTGGCTAAACCTGTGCCTCACTATAACTGAAAATGAATACTCAGAAACTTAATTCAGCATTGGGTGCAACAGTAGAGTAATAAATACAGGCTATGTGGGAGATTCCTTCAGGCTTCCTTGGTTTGACATGACTCTCTGGGACGTGGTTGTTAAAGGGACAGTTGGGGGAATGGGAAGAGGGGGAGGCTTGTCACTCTGGGGAGGGGCTAGGTAGGATTCCTTTAGTGGGTACTGTCCAGTACCGTAGCCACTAGCCACGTGTCTGTTTCCAGTTAAGGCAATACTGTAAGAGTAAAAGCTATACTGGGATTCAATGAGTTGGTATTAAAAAATGTAAAACATCTCATCAATAATTTTTATATTAATTGCATGTTGAAATTACATGTCAAATAATTCTTTTGGGAGTGTATCAGATTAAATAGCAGTATTAAAACTGATTTCACCCATCTCTCTCTCTTTGAATGTGGCTACTAGAAAGTTTAAAATTATGTATATGACTCTATATTTCCCGTGGACATCACTGTGCTATATGCATTTTACATGGTGGGATTACGGTTAGTGTTTATTTTCTTGCTTCTGTTTCTGTATTTTTCAAAGTGACAGTATGAGTGACAGACAGTATTGTGTTTTGAGGAAAAGATAGATAGCATGGATTTTGGAGTCTGGCAAAGATATGTCCTATCTGTTGCACTCGGCCAACTTTTTCTGAGCCTGCACTCCCTCATTTGTTAAATTAAGAGAATAACTCTTTTGACCTAACCAGGTCAAAGCTTTCCAGCTTGTTATCAGGAGTGAGAAATGCATGGGAAATTAGCAGAGTGCTTAGCACAGAAACTGGCATAGGAAAAACTCAGTAATATTCCATATTATTGTAGGTTATATCAAAACACCCATCCGGTGCACAACGTGGAAATCTGTCTCCACTTCTAATTCAGGTTTTTGTCTCACTTGTTCTACAACTTTGCCTTTGCTATTATATCTACCGACTTTTACATCCAGAAAGCTGAACTTCCCCTTCTTTGCCTCATAATTGAACTCGTTCATACTGAGCTTACTCCCACTTAGTTACTTTAGCTCCTTTTTAACTTCAGAGCAAGAATTTTATCCTGGCTACAAACCATGCCACAACTCTTTACCCCTGCCCTTTGCCTTGTACCTGGAGACTGGGTCTTGCTTTTTACCGAAGTCTGCTTCTTTTGATGGGATGATCAGTCAAGGACAATTGACACCAGGCCAGTGCATGTGGGTAGCTGTCAGAAGAGTAAGGGTCATGTAAACAAGAGATCAAGAGAACAGGAAGCAAAGATAGGGCAGAAGAAAAGCAATGTTACCATTGCTCTCCCCTTGTTTCACAAGCCAGCCTTTTCTTCTCATTGCCTTTGTCTGTTGGCTTTAAAAGCTGTGCTATGTTCAGCTCAGGGTAGGTACAAGGTGTTTCTCATTGCCTTTCTAGATTCTCACCACCTGAAGTACAACCTCCCACAGTGTAGCACAGTGCACATGTAAAACCATGCACTCAATTTCCATATTCTGGGCAGTAACTCCTCAGATGAAGACGGTTATACATGTTCTCTGAAATTCAGTGATGGAAGAGAAAACAATGCAAAACTTTGTGAAAACACGTGGCTTCCTAGCTCCTTCACAATTAATGAGATTAGCCTCAGTCAGAGCTGCATGAATACTAACAGGAGCAGGAACGTAAGATGAATTTGAAATAGCACAGGTGGCTGGGAGCGCCTGTACTCCTCAAAGTAGTGGGGAAAAAATGTCCCTGATCTCTTATGTGAGTATGTATTTTTTTAATCAGAAATATGTTGGGGTTTTTTTTGTTCCTTTGAATAATTCTTTATAGTATCTGTAACCAGGTGATTCAGAAGATACTGGACTTAAGGTGTTCTTTTTTTTAGCCATTTTTTCATCAGATCAATATGTTACTTCACCTGATTTTAGATTTGCTGGATGTTCTCAGGATAGCAAACTCAAAGGAAAAAAATTAGCAAATTGGTTTATATTTCCAAGTTTAGGCTGAGAGTTGACAGGAGAAACCTGTGGAAATTAACAAAGGAGAGTTTCCAAAGCCTTCCTTGGTCACATAGGGATTTGTGGAGGATATGAATACACCTAGGGTCCCTCCAACACCAGGCACAGAATACTCAGGCCAGTACAATTGGGAGGCTTAATTCTGGATGTGTGAATGTGGCTGTTTTCCCTGGAGCATTTTTTTAAATTGGTTTATCGAGACAGAGTTTCATCCTGTCAGCCAGGCTGGAGTGCCATGGCACATTTATGTCTCACTGCAGCCTCAACCTCCAGGACTCAAGTGATCCTCCCACCCCAGCCCCCCAAGTACCTAGGACCACATGTGTACCACCATGCCTGCCTACATTTTTCTATTTTTTTTTTTTTTGTCGAGATAGGGTTTTGCTATGTTGCCTAAGTGGGTCTCAAACTTCTAGTCTTAGGTGATCCTCCTGCCTTGGCCTCTCAAAGTGCTGAGATATCAGGCATGAACCACCATGTCTGGCCCCCATTTATTAATAAAATATTGACCATGAGTCATAGGAAATATTCATTGCCAACTGTCAGTTTCCTATGGTTTCCAAGAAAATCAGAGGATTGAAAGTGAATAAATGTTTCTTATTATGATTGAAATTTAGGAGAGGAAGGAAGCATTTCTGAAAATGCAAATACTGCTTTAACATAGCAGCTCTCTACCGGGGAACTTATATTCTGGGTGTCTTGGCTTCTTAAGAAAAGAGACAACAAATGCTCTGCAGATCCCCTGATCTTCCTTTTCTCTTTTGTCACTGTAAATTCTCATGCTTCAATTGTTTATGGTTGGTGTAGCATCTTTCTCTCTGTCAGAATTGCAGAATCTAGTGGCGGTTACATAAGTTGGAATACAAACTTGTGGGCATGCAAACAAATGTACATACAGTCAACATTTGAGCTACATAAGGGGCCTTTAAGTGGTCTTTTCTCGAGGGTCTGATTGCTTCTGGGCTGCTGACAGCACAGCTCAGTGCTGCAAAGGAAGGGAATATGTTACTGGCTGCAGTTTTATATTTGCCATCTTTGAATAATTCTTTTTCCCCATATGGGGGTGGAAAAGATGATGAATCTAAGTGTCTGAAAAGAAGCACGTGCTGTTGCAGAGATGAGCATGATTATAGGTGTGCATACCTAGCATGTATATGTCCAAAAAACATTCTTGGTGACACGCTATTTCTGATTTTGCTTCCCTTGAAACTGAATGCAAAACCGGTGTCATTAAATGTGCCGCTTTGTTGCCAAAGGGATACAACTTCCATTTGATTTTAAAATATCATTAGGTCTTCTAGGTTTTCTTTGTGCAGACATCCTTTAAAATACAAACACTGCTTTATCTAATGCAGCTATATGTATACATATCTTTTTCTTTAAAATGAAAATACAAAACCAGATTTATGGATAACATAAAATGCTTTCTGGATACACAAACACACACCAATGAAAACATTTTTTTAAAATTAACAGACATCAACCAGTATAAATACACTGTCTAAACCATTTAATGGTCTTTAACACAGCCAACACCCCCGGGTTTGAACCAGTGTTAAATTCTCTTTTGCTCATGGCAAAAGAAGCTGTCAAGCACAACACTGAAAAATTGGTACCATTTTCTGGCCAGTAAGCACAGAACAGAGGGGCTAAATATTTTATGGTTTTATTTATTTATTTACTGCATTCTCATGCTGTGTTTTTCTCTGTCTCCGCTCCCCCTCCCCGCTCCTGCTGGTGCCTGCCCAGGGCTGATTGTTGTGACACTGGCCATATGCTGGATGCCCAACCAGATTCGGAGGATCATGGCTGCAGCCAAACCCAAGCACAACTGGACGAGGTCCTACTTCCGGGCGTACATGATCCTCCTCCCCTTCTCGGACACGTTCTTCTACCTCAGCTCGGTGATCAACCCGCTCCTGTACACGGTGTCCTCGCAGCAGTTCCGCCGGGTGTTCGTGCAGGTGCTGTGCTGTCGCTTGTCGCTGCAGCATGCCAACCACGAGAAGCGCCTGCGCGCCCAAGCGCTCTCCACCATGGACAGCGCCCACTCTGCGCAGCGCCCCCTGCTCTTCCTCGCATCCCGGCACCAGTCCTCTGCAAGGAGAACTAACAAGGTTTTCTTAAGCACTTTTCAGAGCGAGGCGGAGCCACAGTCTAAGCCCCAACCATTGAGTCTGGAGTTACTGGAGCCCAGCTCAAGTGCAAAACCAGCCAATGCTGGTGCAGAGAATGGTTTTCCGGAGCATGAAGTTTGAATGTCTAGTGAAGAAGCCTTGAGTGGGAACTGCCCCTCCATCCCCAAGAAAACAATGTCACCCTCACACTGCAGTCTCAAAATAAACTATGCCCCCATCAGGGGTGGAATGGATGCTGGCAGCTTTGCAAAAGGCAGTGCCCACCTCAGTGACTTCTAAGGGCTGACTGTGCCAGCCTGGCCTTGGCTCTGGTTACACAGACGTAGGGGTGAACTTTCACTCCACCTCCTTCCTTCAAGTACATAATGAAAATTCAGTCAGACTGAGTTTACAAAAATGCTTTACATGGAGTGCTTTCATTATTTGCAAAGGAACAAAAAGAGAACACGGACTCCTGCTCCCTACCTAGAATAAAAGGATGGCTGGAAGAACAATACAGGAGTGAGTGGCATCTCCTTCAGCTTCAGCAGTGGGCTGAAAAGATGGCTAATTTGAGGAGCAGGATGGTGGTGGGGAGCCGTGGCCTGAGGGTGGAAGCAGAACTACCTCTTTTCTTGGGTCTTGGCCCATTGCAAAGAGGGGTGTTGCAGCAGCTGATGCACACTGAGTTCAGTTTCCCTGGGGAGCAGAAGGACTGGTACCCGGCAGAGGCGATGAGACAGGCGGCTGATGATGCACAGGACTTGCGATACATGATCCCTGCAACACAGACCCAAAGGACCTGGGTTAACATGCACTAGTCAAAGGACAGCTCTTCCTTACTCCTCCCACAGCCCAGAGATTTGATGGGGCCAGGGAGGTGCTTCAAATTATTTCATTGATACTCAAAATGCACAAGATAGATGTTAAAAGAGACAGGCACTTTTTCATTACCTTTAACAAAACTGTTCCAAAAGCTATTTGAGATGCCAATAGCAGTGAATAAAGAGCTTTTAAAATGAAAGTCTTTAAGTCAGAGTTCACACTGTGTACAAGACACAGCTTTTTACTTACTTTTTTTATTGTTGTTCAAACTGTTTCATGCCAGTGAGGACCACAAGCAGTGCTTCTAGGTCTTATCTCTGTTGTTACTTTATAAACTACCAAAGAGCGATGGCTCTCAACTATGTGTTGATGAAATCCTGGAATTCTTTAAAAAAAGACCAAATCCCAAAGGGGAATAAATATCCCTACTGAAGGTGCCTGGCTGACAGTGTGCCCCTCACAGTCTTACTCTCAGCAAAGATGCTCTGCCCTCGGGACACATAGCCACTACCAAGCCAGGACTACACGGCTAGCACTCAGGGACACACACTGGATATAAAAAGGAGCTTCCCGAGAAGACTGAGGGGCCTGTCTCAAGGAGCGTATCTGTCCTGTCAAGCTGCAGTAGAGTTAGCAAATTAGGGTGTCTTAGATAACTTATTTAGGGGCTTCCCTGTCTCCCAGGCACTATTCAGACAGCTGTAGTGTACCCAGCTTCTTCACTACCCAAAGCTTCCCTCCAAGGGAGGTCATCATGATCACCCCCATTTTACAGATGTGAAGCCTCAGGGCCAGAGAGGTTTAGTAAACTTGCTCAATGTCACATGAACAGGAAGTAGAGCGGCTGGGATTTGAACCCAGCATTCTGGCTCCATGCTGTCAAGACTGTTACTGTATAGCAGCAAAGTGGACTACCAATTAACCAGCACAAGGGTAGGGACATTTTAGGGGGAGGGGACTTTACTCTGAAGATAGTGACATACATATCCACACACAAAAACTATTTAAATCAATGAATTTTTTTTGGACAGATTAATACTAAAGGTAGACTTAGAATTAAGAGGTCTTAATCCTGTTTGCTGCCTTGCACAGCTGAGGGATATAGCATCCCACTCATTTTCTGCAGGTGTGATTTTTGTTTTGGCTCCCCCCCCTCCTTGAGAACTACCACTCTGGGTACTGTAGAAACAGTAAAGAATGAAATTGCCTAAAACTTCCAAGTGGGAAGTAAAGAAGTACTGTGGATTTACCTTAAAACATGCAATTGTATGTCATTTTTCCCCTCTAACTGCATGTTTGTAGGGATTGATTTTCTAAGACCATTACAAAATCCTAGAAGGTGGCTGCTCGGGTAAGATAAAGCCAACGTACAGAGGCTGCCTGTATCTCTGTGTGGGAGGCACTGTTTGATTGCTAAGGAATATACTTCAGGGCATTGCCCATTTATAGATTTCCCATAGTCTCTATGTTTGCTATCCATGGCCCTTCTTAGGAAATTATTTTACTCTCTTTTTATTCCTAAGTATAAAAAACACTAACTGGCATTTATTTGCCTGTTCAACTACAATGAACTTTTTTCCTTTAAGTGAATTTTTAAACTTTAAAAAATACTTGCTGAATATGTTTTTCTCTGTAAAAACGTTCAAACAGTCTGTAAGGTGAAAATACCCCTTGAGTACCCCTGCCAGTTCCAGGCCCTCCACCATGTCCCCCTGGGGGCAGGAGCTGTCATCGGTGTGGCCTGTCTCCTTCTACGCTGGTTTCTGTACATTTACATATATATTCACAGAGAAATAAAGTCCATGTGTTTGCACACATTTGTTAATACTATCACATCCTATATGCTATTCTGCAATTTGCATTTTTATTTAGTGACATGGCCCCGGCTACTAGTGGGATGCTATATCCCTCAGCTGTGCAAGGCATCAAACAGGATTAAGACCTCTTAATTCTAAGTCCAGCTTTAGTATTAAATATTATCTATTGAAAAAATAATTTATTGAAATAAACTAGCCACATACATACCCACACAACAAGGCTAACTTCACAGGGTTAGGGATCAGTGATCAGGTAAGTTAGTTGGATAAATAGTGCATGTCATTATGAAGAGATGGACTAACAGAGCCATAATCTTTATGGCTGCTGAGACCCTCATGTCATTAGTCAGAAACAATTTATCTTCATAAGGAAAGTTGGGGAGAGGTACAGGCTCTCAAGCTGGTGGTTCATGAACTGATGCCACCACAGTGAGGCTTTCTGAAGGGGAAGGTTGACAGCTCCATAAGAAAAGGGGTATTTACCAGATGCTGCAAGAGGGAGGAAAGAGAAAGGTGTCTGATGTCAGATAGGTGTCTCCACTGCCAGGCTGGCCCCTCCAGGGCAGGTATGCTGTGGAGGTCCAAGGGTCCTCAGGCTTCTCTAGGCCTGAGAGCCATGAGGGTCAGGGGAGCTCTGGGCTCCTGTGAGCCTCCCTTGGTTAAAGTCTAAGTCTGGAACTCACACTAGAGATGCTTTGGGTGAGACTGGATGTGATTAAAGATGTTTCTAATGGGATGAAAGGAAATGTAGATCTAGGCATCAAGGTAAGTGACAGGCAACTGGCTGGTGTTGGGTTATGGAGGAGCTGCGTTTGGAGACATTCAAGAAGAAAAGGTGTGCTAGTTCTAAACTGGGTGGTGGCAGAGGAAGCAGGTATGAGGTGTACTAACAGAAATGGGGAAATTTAAGATTAAAGAGGGCTTTCAGAAAACAAAGGCATTTTACTCATCCTTCTGATGAAAATTGACATGGTGGAGATAACACAGTGCCTCCTTTGAGAGACCTGGGGTGGAGCTAAGTGGTGAGGCTGAGACAGAGGGACTGATATTTGAAAAGGCTGATATTTGGAATCTGCAAAGAAGTGGAAATAAGCCACCTCTCCCATGGCTTCAAATAAAGAAAAGCCTTCCCAGTTCATTTTAAGCACTTGAGCGGGTGGGCTGGGGATGGGAACAGAGGTCCTAGACAAATGGGAACAGTTTTGGGGCATGCTGAGAGCTGCCCCGGAAGGAGCATGTGATTGAATAGCATGCAGGCCACTCGGTAGCTTTAAGAAAATACCCCTGGGGTTTAGGCACGAATGGCAGCCTGCAATAGGAGAGAATTGGAGACAGCAAGGAGTGAAGGGGTGTAGAAGACAGACTCCCACTGGAAGGAAATAAGGAATGCTGCCAGGTGGGGGGGCCCAGTGAGGACTTAGAACTCCTCAACAATTCCATCATTCACATGCTTATCAGAATAAATTCCAAATAGATTTAAGATTTAAATGTTGAAAAGCAAAACCATTAAAGTACTAAATGGCACTTTGGAATCTTGGGAGATTTCTTTAAGAGTTGTAAAGGCTATTCTGTGACACAACACTCAGAAGCCATTACAGAAAATATTGGAAAATTAGACTACATACACACACTCTCTTTCTAATAGAATCCCTATATATAAGAAAAAAAGACAGACAGTGAAATATTGGAAAAAATAATTGTGGCTGGGCGCGAGGTGGCTCACGCCTATAATCCCAGCACTTTGGGAGGCCGAGGCGGGTGGATCACGAGGTTAAGAGATCAAGACCATCCTGGTCAACATGGTGAAACCCTGTCTCTACTAAAAATACAAAAATTAGCTGGGCATGGTGGCACGTGCCTGTAGTCCCAGCTACTCGGGAGGCTGAGGCAGGAGAATTGCCTGAACCCAGGAGGCGGAGGTTGCAGTGAGCCGAGATCGCGCTATTGCACTCCAGCCTGGGTAACAAGAGCGAAACTCTGTCTCAAAAAGTAATAATAATAATAATAATTGTAACTCAAATCACAAAGAAAATTTCCTTAATATGTAAAAAGGTCCTAGAAATCTGTAAGGAATAAATAATTATAAGTCAGGAATAAATAAATAACTCATTAGAAAAAGTGGGAAAGCAAATACCAGATAGTTTACAGAAAAAGAAACAGAACTCTGAAACACATGAAAAGAGGCTCACCCTCACGTATCATAAAAAGAATGGAAATTAAACTACACTGAGATCCCATTATTATTTATCACTTGGGCAGAGATTTAAAAGTTTATTATAAACACTGTGTTCATGAATCTTAGAAAGGCCCTTTCCCACATTGTTGGTTAGGAGAGTAAATAGGTCTAATTTCCACAAAGGCAATATGGCAATAGCCATCAACACTACAAATGCACATACTCTGTGACCCAGCGATTCCACTTTTATGTATGTATCCTACAGACATATTCACAGACCTACAAAACTACTATAGGCAAGGTTATTCATGGTAGAGTAGTGTGTCGTAGCAAAAGAATAGACAATCACTCTATCCATCACCAGGGAACTGGTAAACTCCCAGTGTCTCATCTGCACAACGCAATTCCACAAAACTATACACGAATATACTGAGTTAAAAACAAAGTGAAGTATGTCTGGACAGATCCCTCCTTCCTTTCTCTCCCTCCCTTCCTCTTTTTTTTTTTGTTTAAATGAATGAGTTTATACTTCTTACTATGCTTCAGATGCAGTTTTAACAGCTTTATGAATAGTAACTCTTTCAATCTTTGTAGTAACTCTAGTAGTAATCCTAATCTTGCAGATTGGGGAAACTGAGGCAAAAATAGGGTAGGTAATTTTCTTAGAGGCCATGCAGGTAATATGTAGTGGAGCTGAGATTTAAGCCTAGGAGGTCTGGATTTATCATCTGTACTCTTAACCATCATATCACATTGTCTACCATGCTGTAACACACATCTAACGGGGAAAATAAAACTTAATAGCGCATACACACACACACATTTTGCATGCATATGCATAAAAGTTTATGGAGGAATACACAAAAAGATAATATTGGTTGTCTCTGGCATGAGGTACTAGGTGGTCACTGGATAGGAATGGAAAAAAAACTGTAGACCCTTTCTTACCATTTAAAGTCAGAACCATGAGAATAAAATACCATTTTTTAAATGATGTAGGTAAACACCCCCAAGGAACCATTCTCAAATGGTGAATCAGTGTAACACAAGGTCTTTCCTAGCTGTGTCCACCAGAGGGCTCTAGGGAATGAGCCACTATCAAGAAAGCCACCGGGAGCTGCCCCAAAGCCCAAGTCTCAGGGTTACAGGGCAGGGGTACTTGTGCCTGTGGGTCTCTCTGCTTTTCCTTTAATCGGGACC